TCTTCCGGATTCTAGGCGCGTACGTCTGTAGCGCCCACAGCACGCCGGCGAGCTCTCTTTGTGTGCTGGAGGTTGGATGAAGGGCTCCGGGCATTGCCGCGCTGGCCTCTATCGTGGCTCCAGGGAATGTGTTCAGCGTGGCACCCCAGCTGTGGGCACTTGCGTCTACGTGGATGACTGCATCGTAGCTGTGCCGCACATGGAATGGGGCACCGTTGAAACGGTCGAACTCTTGGATCCAGAATCTCAGCTCTTCGATGGCGGGTGGGGAGAGGATGACCATGCTGGTCCATGTCGGCGCGTCATTGATTGTTTCTAGCATGGCGTGGATGAACGCTCGGGTGGTGGTGCCGAGTGCGACAGCCATCGATGCCAGCATGCCTGTAACTCGGGCCAGTTGCCGGACTGGGACTTTCCGCTGAGCTGAGCTTGCGCGCAGTAGGGCATGGAGGGTGGCGTTGAGTGTGGCTCGCCGCTCCTCGCCGATGGAGAACCGGCCGGCCTGTGTGTCAAGTTCTACGCCAAGGAACCGAAGGTGCTGTGTTGGTATCAGCTTTGACTTTTTTGAGTTGAGTACGAGCCCGGCAGCCTTGAGATCGATAACGATCCGTTGGCACGTGGCTTGAGCGTGTGCCTGGGTCGGGCACAGGAAAAGGATATCGTCCACGTAGGGTATCACGCGGACCCCCTGCTCCCGCCATCGCCGAGCTAATTGCTTGATGAGCTGCGTGAAGACGAATGGTGCTATGGCGAGGCCGAACGGCAAGGATCGGAAGGCGTATATGCACCCGTCGAATTCAAAGCCGAGGAACGTCCAGCACGAGGGATGGATGTCGACATGGTGATAGCCTGATTTCAAGTCGATGGAGAACATCCAATCTCCTTGGCGGGCGAGGTCCGCTACGCGGTTGAGTCCCTCATATTTAAATTTGGGGACGATTATTGCGCCGTTCACCTTTCGGAGATCCAGAATCAGGCGACACTTGTCTTTCTGCTCGACCACGTTGAGTGGGCTTATGCATCTCAGTTTCGCCGCAGGAATTTGGATGGCCGCGCCGGTCTCGGTGAGTTCAAGGATGGCCGTGCGCGTGAACGCTTCGTGGGTGCGTGCGCCGGCATGGTTGCGATCGTGAAAGGCTGGCGGCGGCCCGAGTTTCCATGGCATCCAGTATCCATTGGCAATGACTGAGAGGATGAAACTGCTAGTGCACCACGAGCTCCACCAAGCGAATGTGGTACGTAGGCGGCCACGCATTTTGGTGACCATCTTGTCAGTAACCGCGTATTCGTAGGGGTCACTGTTGTGAGCGCATTCGCGAAGTCTGGTGCCTGTGGGAGTGCCATCATGCAAGGAGAAGCAAGGGACGAATACTTGAGTTCATCTGCAGGGCTGATGCCTGCCGGAAACCTAGAGCGTGGGGGGGGGGGGGGAGTGTGAAGCCTAGTGGCTGAGGAGGGCGTGCCGGATTGAGGTGCCACATGCGAGCAAGATGCTTAGGTCGGTGGTTGCCTGCGCTTTGAGCGGGTCTGAGCGGCGTGACCTGCGTGTGTGTCGGTTTGCACGCCCGCGCATGCCGAGCTTGCGTTCGAACCTGAGCCCCGACGTTTGCTTCCCTTTGTGCCCTCGTATTCCCACAACTTGTGCCTTCACTCGCGCTTCTACTCGCGAACGCATGTTACCCTCTTATTGCCTCCTTCGCTTGCGTTCTCATTTCTTGGGTTTTGAGACTCAACGCCCGTGTTTTTTCTTTTCTTTTCTTTTCTTTTATTTTCTTTTATGTCTTTCTTCTAGCCACCTCTTGTGTGCTTGTGTGGCATGCGTGCGGTGTTTTGTTGCTGTTCCCGTTCGTGGGCCGTACCGCGTGCGTGCGCGCATGCTTATGTGACTCGTTTTTTTTTTTTTTTCCAATGCCAAGCTGGGCAGCCCTAGATGAGGCTGGTGTGGCTGTTCCTGTATGCCCACGGAGGGGTAGTGCATAGGGTCCAGGGTGTAGCACACCGGGTTGGAGGGTAGGCGCCTTGTAAGGCTCGCATAATGCTTGAATTCTCCTTTTTTTTTTTTTTTTTTTTTTTTCTTGCATGTCCAATCGGGGAGCAACTCAGTGTGGGTAAGTGGCGGGCCATTGGTGTTCCTGATGGCCTTCCTTCTCTGGCCGGGGGTGCTGCGTGACATGCAGCGGGGGTTGAGCCACCCACTATGCTTCCCCATTCCGTGCTCAATCCCCCCCCCCCCCCCCCCCTTTTTTTTTTTTTTTTTTTTTTTTTTTTTTTTTTTTTTGCTGCGCCTCTTATGGTGCTGCTCCCCCATTTCTCTGGTTATATTAGGGGCCAAGACCTGAAAAAAAATGAAGGACCGCGGCTCCTTATTTTAACCAAGCTTCATCTCTACTCAACCATGCTCCTAGGCATGCAAAGTCCGCCTTGCAAGGTCGGGCTATCATTTGGGACCGAGGGGGTATGTTCCCCTTCCCTTGCTCTGAGCCTAGGGCCTACGATTGGCCTACACTAGGGCTGGCCCTCTGCCACCCGTGCCCCTAAGGGGTGGGCCCAATGGCCTACGCACACACCGGGTGCCTTGTGCCTTGCGCCACTTGCGCAAGCGCCCATGGCCCGACCCCTACACCACTGGTGCGGGTCCTTGGCCACCATGCCCAATCGCCGGGCAGCCGCTGGCCACATGCCCCGGCTGGCCACAGCGGAAGCAAGTGCCTCGGAAGCCACGGAATTCTCCCGTAGGCGGCAGACCACGCTTTGGCACGAACGGCATGGGCATGCGGCCGCCTCCGCGATTTCCACGAGCAAACCCGCCCTCGGCGCGGTCCATTGCGGCCACGTCAGCGACGGCCTGCTTGAAAGGCCTTGAGGTAAGCAGACTCTTCTGCTGGTACAGCTTGAAACGCTTGGCCGTGCGGAAGTCGGAGGCGTCTTCGACTTGGAGAACTTCGAAGCGTCGCGATATGAGGGCGAGCGCGTCGGCGAGGAATTCGAGGCCGCCCGGCGCGTCGCCGTGCTGCACCTTGAACTCGGCGTGCTTCAGGTATGCCCGAAGGTCCTCTAGGACTTCCGCTTGCTCGCGCACGGTCGCGTTGAGGAAAGACGCCGCCGAGAGGGTGGTGTTAGTGGACGGGAGTGGTGGGAGGTGCTCCATGGGAATTGAATTTGCAGCAGTGCCGGGGACCTCACCATCGTCATTGTCGGAGTCGTCGCTGTCGTTGTCGGCCGCCGGGGCAGGCGGGATGCTGGCGACGGCGTCTTTGGCGAGGCGTGGCGTCTTGGTTCCGCGTGTGGCCTTTTTTGTTTTTGCAGGTTCTTTTTTAGCAGATTCAGAAGCAGCAGGTTGAGCAGTTTCGGCGGCCGTAACACTCGTCGCCTGTTGCTGTAACAGCGTCAACAGCGCGTTGACCTGCGCAGGGGTCAACGACGGGGTCAATGTCGGGGTGGGCGGCACGTCAGATGAGGCAGCCGCGCGCCCCCTTTTTCGCTGGCGAGAAGGACCCGCCACTTGCGGGGCTGGCGCGTGCTGCTGCTCGGCGTCAGGCGCGAGTGGCTGGCTCTGCCCAGCCACTTGCGCGTGTGGCTCAGAAGGGGGCGGGGGCGCGTCAGCAGGCTGACTGTTGACCTCGCCCCTTCCCAGCAGAACGTCAACCCCAGCTGGGGCGGCCGCCCCTTCTTCTGCCCGACGCTTGTTGCGCCGGTCGCCCGCAATTTCCGGGGCTTGGCGAGTAGACTCGGAATTGGGGTGGCCGGTGACGACGTTGGACTCGCCGCGATTATTCGTAGTCGGAGCCATGACGGATTGGTGAAACTTAAAAATGTCGGAGAGAAGAGTCGAGGGAGACTCGCCGCGAGGCAAAGTTCTAGTCTTAGCCAGCTTGAACGGGAGAAAAGCTAGAGCGGGAAAGTGGACTGAGCCGTTTGAAAAATGAGAGACGTGGGTGGAGGTAAATGAGCTCCAACCCACGTATATGTAGTTGGAGAAGGGCGAGTAGCGCACTTCGACGATGCCCAACGCTTCAGTACAATCAGCTTCGCATTCACAATACACAATTTTTGAAAAACACTACGTGTGTTAAAAATTATAATTTCATGGTGAACAGCAACACACGCTCAGCAATCCAGGAGTTGGCTTTCACATCGATGTTCTTAGGCCATGGACGTATGTGTTATATAGAGCTGTGTTAGTGAACATAACCTGACATTCATAACGAAGTGTCGCAGAACCGGGGTTACTTCTGCGTTTGGTGGACAAGATATTTTCCGAGTTCAGAACGCGCTGACTCAGTTGAAAGAGAACCAATCCGCCAGAGGTAGCCATTTCCGAACCGCGTTCCAGCAGACAGCTGCCCTTTTCAGGTGGAACATCGCAAAGCCAACACAGCAGCGGTCCCGTGCTCGTGTCCAAGCAGATCGAGATGACGTGACAACGCAGCGTCGCTCCCTCGTGAGAACCACTGAAATCACCACCACACTTTACGGGCCATCCTCACCAACATGGCAACTGCGGATTCGCGAATGGTCTGAGACCTAGGTACACGCTGGCAGTCGCGCCAAGCTGATCGAATTGACATCCCTGGTTTCTATCCACAAGCGCTGCGGTAACACGATGCGGCTCGGCGATAATTCGGTTGAGCGTGGGGGGGGGCCCAGGAGGGCGCAGATGCAATTTCTCGAACTCCCCGCAAGAACCCACAGTTTTGCGCCTCATTTATGCGCCTGGCTCCCGCGCAGCATTATCCTCCCCGTTTTGCGCTTCAAATTTGCGCCTCTAGCTTTGCAGACAAGGCACGAGAGATGGCGCCATCCACACCTTTCATTGCCCCTGTCCGTTTCCCCTCTTTCCAGCGCAACCCCCCCTTCTGCTCGGCTCGTGTGAGTTAGTGCGAGCGTGCATGGCTGTAGGCCAATTCCCCCGCGCCAGCGTCGCACTCCCCGTGCCAACGCACATTCAAGCAATCGAACGCAATCCCGCCCTGCTTTCTGCCCATCCTTCCTCTTCCCAGTCACTCTCTCACCCGTGTGACAGACCATCCCTCTCACCCCACAGCATCACCAACACGGGCGATCCCCTTCACTGCACTGCATGAGGGAGTCTCAAAAGGCTTATAAACACACCCAACACGCAAGCTCCTTTCATCTCTGGACCAGCGACGCATCAGTCGCTTTACTGTCACTTGTGTCTCACGCGATCAGCTCATCGAGTCAAGCTTCTTCCGGATTCTTGTTTGTGAAGGATAGCTATCGCGGTTTGCCGCGCACGTCAACCCGATACACCTGGAAAAAGATCCGTCAATTTCGCCGATCGCTGGTCAACGATTGTTCGCCTTCGCCGACGCGAAACAACATGGCGACAGCTCTCCTCTCGCACGCGGCGGTCCCCGTCGCGGTAACATGCGCGAAATCGACAACGGCCTCTCGTAACCGCGTCGCCCTCAAGTCGCCCTTCGCGGGGACCAGCCTCCGCCTGCCCGCGCGCCTCCCCTTCCCCCGCGCGCGGAAACCCGCGGGGATCTCCGCGGTGATCGAGATCGAGCAAGAGGAGATCCTTACGACCCCGCGCGATCCGCCCAAGACCATCCTCGAGAAACTCGAGGAGCTGGATGACGTGGGCGTGCCGCACCAGGTGTTGTGGTCCGATGTTGTAACCGTTAAGAAGCGCCCGTATTTCTTCAACCGCGAGTGGCTTCCGAAAGACATTGGGTACGCCGTGTTCCTCGGCAGCATCCACCTGCTCGCGCTCGCCGCGCCGTTTACCTTCTCGTGGGAGGCGTTCGAGTGCTTCGTCGCCATGTACGTCATCACAGGTACGTGCTGACGTCACACCATCTGATTCGCCCGGTCATATCCGGACTAGTGCTACAACTCTGGTTGGCACTGCCGGTCCTATCTTTTTCTCCATATCTTTGTCCAACTCTTTCCATCGCTCGGAGCCTCCTTCTTCGTGCTGAGCTTTCTTTATATGTGCGTTGGTGCGTGTGCTGCGCCACAGGCATGTTCGGAATTACGCTCTCGTTCCATCGCCATCTGACGCACCACAGCTTCGTGCTGCCCAAGTGGCTCGAGTACACTTTCGCCTACTGCGGTGTCCTCGCCTGTCAGGTAACCAATCGCCATTTCGTCGCCACTCAGTGACGAATTGTAGCACCATATACACTTCGCAAGTTACCCGGCGTTTTTACGAGATGCCGTTTCCGCGCTGCGTTCCGCACCTGATGCTCCGGTGTGTGTTGCGCTGTTTGTGTCCAACCTGCTTGCGTCTCGCTACAGGGTTCTCCGTTTGAGTGGGTGAGCGCTCACCGCATTCACCACCGCTGGTGCGACAAACCCGAGGACGTTCATACGCCTTATGAGGGGTTTTGGTACAGCCACGCTGGCTGGCTGCTCGATAACGAGGCGCTAAACGCCAGGGTACGTCTATCTGTCTCAGAACATGATGGGCACCCTCGTCTCTTGCCCCCAGCTTGAGTCAGGGTCACTTCACTAGTGCAATTTATTCCAGACCATAACTGACTCTTTCTTGCGTAACTGACTCTTTCTTGTGGGTGGTTTACCCTGCAGCTGGAGGGCAAGAACAACATATACGACCTGACCAAGGATCCGTTCTACCAGTTCATCGATAAGACCTACATCTGGCACATCGTCGCCTCCGTTGTCGCTCTCTACGCGCTCGGCGGCTTCCCCTTCGTCGCATGGGGCTTCGTAAGTCAAATCACGATCTCAAACCGCATGGCTCATGACCCTTCGTTCTGTATTCCGTTGGCTTACGTTCGTGAACCTCATCTGATGAGCGTTGGTTTCGTGTGTGCAGGCGCTGCGCCTGGTGTGGGTGTACCACATCACGTGGTTCGTCAACTCCGCCTCGCACGTTTGGGGCGACCAGCCGTGGAACACGGGGGATCTTTCTCGAAATAACTGGTGCGCAGCGCATTGACTCACACGCCCTCCCCCTTCATATCGCCAATCATCACCTTACCTAATCTCACTCGCGATCACTTTCGCGTACGACCGCTCCCCAAACCAATCTTTGATTTCGCATTCCATGGCTGTCCATTGCACTATCCCCCGCAACAGGTGGGTGGGCATTCTGGCGTTCGGTGAGGGCTGGCACAACAACCACCACGCGTTCGAGTACTCGGCGCGCCACGGTTTGGACTGGTGGCAGATCGATATGACGTGGTACACCCTCAAGCTGCTGGAAGCCGTTGGATTGGCCACCAATCTACGGTACCCGCGCGAGAAGCACATGAAGAAGCTCGCTTTCCCCGACTCCCCCCTCGCGAAAAAGGCCTAGGTGTTACTTCGGTAACACCGAAATAAATATGCGCTACAGTGTTTACAAAAGCTGTGGATGCATATTTCTATAGTGGCTGTCATCGTGTACATTGGGTAGGTTCTCCTGGTTTGGAGGGAGCTGCCTCCCTGATAGCCGCCTGATGGCTGCTTATCATGCTCTTTTGTAGATTCCCCCTTTTGCTGAGGGCTATGGGATTTGGGATATTGTGAGCTCTTCTATAGTGTGTTATGGGTGATTAGCAGCATGCACCAATATATTGGGCTAACCTTTGAATGGCCAACTATGGAAGCCCAGCAAGGGAACCTCAGCAAGAATGTTGAACCAGTGAAAGTAAAAGCTGCAAATCCAAGACAGAAGCCTGGCCAGGTTCAGGGTAAATTGCAGTATACTGCTGCGGAAGTACATTGGGCTGACCTTGAATGGCCACAGGAGCCCAGAAAGGACGCTGCTGAGCATGAACCAGTGAAAGAAGTTGCAAATCATCCAAAACAAGGTTGTGGGTGATTCGCAGTATGCAGAAGTACGGAACATTGGGTCGTCTCAACACTGAATGGCCGCAGACAGAGTCCCAGAAAGAGTGTTGCTGAGCATGAACCAGTGAAAGTGAACCGCTGCTGATGATTCGAAGGACAAGGTTGAACTGGTAGCAATCTTTGTCTCTGCCTATCACGTATCTCTATGCTCTTTCTAAGCTGGAAACCCCAGGCTGCCAGGCACCAACAGCAAGGGCCCTTGAACAACTCTTTATGTGTAACGTGGGTGGATGATTTTCATCTGAGTGTGTAACCAGGCTAGCAGAGAACAGGACGGTGTGGTGCTGCTGCTGCCACAGCCTTGCCTAGTAACCCATCCACATCCATGCCCGGCGGGATAAAGAGCAGGTCACCCCACAGCGAGTCCTCATCGTTTCGCTGGGACAGGGAAGATAAGGAGAGAAGAATTGGAGGATAACTAAGTTACTAGAAGGGTGAAGAAGGACAGAGTCCTTACCATCTACAGTCAAATGCACTGCAACTAACACTGCATTGTCTTTTGAGTCGACTCAAAAGACAGGGAAGATAAGGAGAGAAGAATTGGAGGAGGATCATGTTGCTAGAAGGGTGAAGACGGGGTCCTTACCGTTGACTGTCAACTGGAACAAACACTGCATTGAAAACGAAAACGAAAACTCTAGAGCCCCACGAACTCACCTCCAGCATTTTGAGCACATCTTCAAAGCTGCCGACCTGGGGGGGAGGGGGGGAAGAAAAGAGAAGCAAGAAAGAGAAGTGAGTCTCTTTTTGAAGCGCCTCAACAATCGAGCGCTTTGAGCACGCAAGGGAGAAACGAGAGAGAAAAGCGGAGAGAAAATGGCAGTTCACGATTTGGACCAGCCTCTTAGTGCACCTCTCCAGAGCCTCACTCTCCTATGCTCAGCTACGTCGCTTCACTCTCACGCTAAAAAATGAGTGTTAGATCCACTGTGCACACAGCCAGCCACACTCTCCCCTTGCACCTGTATGCTATTGGTAACTCCTACATACAACTCGCCCTTGCCCTCAGGCGCCCTCCCTCGCACCTGTATGTTTTTGGTGACTCGCATGTGACTTTTGAGTCGACTCAAAAGTCACCTCAGGCGCCCTCCCTCGCACCTGAATGTTGTTGGTGACTCGCATGTTGGGGTTGACTGCCTGCTTCTGCTTGATCGCCTTCTTCAGGGCCGCATCCAAATCCTCCTGGGAGGGCAACAGACATGATGGCGGCGAAGAGGGGGGGCGGGGGGGGGGGGAGGACGGAGGAAGAGACTGGGTGGACCGTGGTCTAACGAAGGAGGGGACGACAGGAGCATGACAAGGGGAAGGTGGGGAGGAGGAACAAGGTGGTAACAGCGACAGCAAGGAAGTAGGGTATCTTTGAGAATTCTAAAAAATAACCTGCAAAAAAAAGTGGGGAGGAGGAACAAGGTGGCTTGCTGCGGGTCGAATCCATTTAATCTTCATTAAGAACAAGGTGGTAACAGCGACAGCAAGGAAGCAACGAGGTGGAGCCCGGAAGAGCGTCACGTCACTGCAGTAACATGTATAAAAAGACCTCGTAGTGGCAGGCAGTGTAGATTAGGAGGCAAACCTTATTGAAGAAGACCGGGGCAGAAGCGCCTGTTCTTGCTGCGAAGAATGAGATTCTCTGACTGCAAAAAGGGAAGCACAAGGAGAGGCACAGACAGGAGGAGAGAGATGGGAGAGTGAGAGTGAGATGGGCATGCTGGTGTTACAAAAAACACATAGCGGCACAGCAGGCGAGGCAAGTGAAGAATGGAAATGCACAATGCCTTTACACCCAGCACCTGAAAGACTGGAACCCCATCAAACGCTCGTGCAGTATCTCCAGATGCTGACAAAACCTGCAAGCCGAGAGGGAGAAGAAAGTCAACAGAAGCAGTTTCCAACACTGGACTTGAAAAATGCAGCAGACGGGGCAGTGAGCTGGAGGACAAGTGAAAAAAATCGGCCTGAATGGCGTGCTTGTTTGCTGCTCTGCCCGCTGCTCTGCCCGCTGACCTCTCACCTGAATGGCGTGCTTGACTTGAACAGGGTCTGCAGGAAGCGGAATGCGATGCCCTCTGCTGACAGTTGGTACAACCTGATGGGGCGGCGGGGGGCGGCATGACAGCGGACACGAGAGGCAAAAGATGCAGGGGAAGAGAGGGGATAGCGATGGGCACTGAGGCTGGACTGGAGGGGGATCGAGATGGGCACTGGGGATGTAACACGTGAAACGGGTGGAGAAAGGAAAGAAACAAAAGGCGGAGTTCCCGGTGTCTAGACTCTAAACATGACACCGGCACCACTCTCGCCCCGCACCCAACCGTTCTCTCTCTGCTGAATCCGCACACTCACGTTCGCGTCTCAGCAGAGGCTCACCTTGTCTAGTGACACCGGGACCACTTTCGCCCCACGCCCCAGGGAGGGCTCGCGATCTTTTACCTGCAGGCAGAACGAGAGGGAGGAGAGAAGGAAGAAGATAACAGAATGAGAGAGAGCTAATGAGAAGGGAGAAATCGAGAAGGGAGGGAGGAGTGCAAGTGGTACGTCAGGAGAAGCAGCAGCTGTTTTTTTTTCGTGAGCCAGCAGCATTTCGGCAATACCTGAGCCAGCAGCGCTTCGGCGTCTTCTCGCCTGAAGCAGAACAGCCCGAGCGACTTATTCCCCCCCATGTCCGATATAAGCACGAACTCGCTAGCCGTGTTAGTCACAGTGTACACGGGCACACCATCTAACCGCTTCGCGACTTGATCCGCCGACATGGCGATGTCAAAAAGATGCCTGGCGGAAGACTCGAACCCGTGACCTTCAGATCCCAGAGAAGACCGGGATTCCATGG